AATCCAAAAAAATTAAAAAGGTCTAAATATCTCGAATAGGTATAAGAAAAGCTAATGAAAATTCTCTCAAAATCATTTGAGTAATCCAAAAATGCAATAAAAAACATAGCTTTTTATTTAAAATAACGAAATTGATATCGACTTCCGGTGTATCAGGAAGTGCCGCCATCTTGAAAATATTTTCATTGCGCAAAACCTAATCGTTTATGGCTACAAACAAAATTTTAGATAAACATTATTGTCAAAACAATATTTCTCATGTGGAGTTTAGCCGAAACACAAATATAAAGTTTCAAAATTTCCGGTTTTCTTGAAAATGTGGTCGAATTTCTGTTGTCCCCAAATCCCAAATTCGGCTGATATTAAATATGCATAGAGGTGTCATCATAAACGCTGTCCTCTCCAGGTCATAAATCAATCATCCGTCATCCCAGTTAAAATAAACAATTAACCTTGATTGTCGTTGTATACGAGCGGCCGTTTAAGTGGTGTGTGTGTGCCTAATGATCGTCTATTTCCGTTTCCGACAATTAACCACTCCATAACACGCATAAATTTTCATAAAATTAATTCATCGAGCATCTCGTTTAATAACATTTTTCTTTTGCAAATTTCACTCCTCCTCCTAAGTGAATTAAAACTTTGCAAGCGAATACAACACGTCATCAGACACTTAGCATCTACTTGCCTCCCTTAAATTAGTCCCTACATCGATGTTAATGTTGTGTCAAACCGTAATTGAATTACATTTATTACGCGCCTTTATGCACACTATGAAGGGGGGTTCGAGAGACTCCTTCCTTCCTCTCGTCTGAAATAATTCTATCGAATGTGGTGGCAAAAATGGGCTCGTAGATCATACAAAATGCTCGATTTCTTTCGCTTGCATGCGAGCGCTTTTCGGTTACATTTCAACGGGATATGTTCAAGAAAATAACTCAAAAAATTTACCTCAAATCTACCAGGTGTTGTTTTTTTTAATTGTGCTCTCAAGTGAAATGTTAATGTTTTGTTATTTGTAGGACACTCTGTATATAACATTTTTGTAAATGACTAATGATGAAAAACAAAGTGTTTTGTGAAATCCGGGTAAAATGGACTCATCATACTATATTACTTTTTTTAATTTTCTTGTTTAAAAAAAGTGCAAAGTAGAAAAAATATTGTATGATATCTCGTTTATGAAGCATTTAAAAACACTCGAATCACCAATGTTTCCAGGTCTGGTGAAATTTCACCATATCTAGTGATTTTTATGCTAATCTAGTAATTTGGTGAAAAATTCTAATATCTGACGATTTTTTAGAAATACAGGGTGCGCCAGAACTCGCGCCCCAGAGAAAAATGCCAGTAACATGGAAAAAATGTTATCTATAAAAATTTCGAAGTTATGAGGTGTTAAAGTTTGCACTTTGACTCTATTTATTTCTGTTGGAAAAATAAGTTTTTTTGATATAAGCTATTAAAAYAGGAAATAAGGAAGCTGTATCCTAAATTGTAACTCTGTTCAATGTTATTTGTGGCTTTTATTGTCAAAATTTTTGTCCCTTTTACTAAATAATAGTAAAAAACATATACAAGATCACCAGTATCATTAAATAGATATAAAAAAATGTCAAATGTCAAAAAATAAATGTCAAAATTTTTTGACAGATWGAATTTTTTAAACATTTTTTTCACGTTCCTGGTATCCTTACCAGGATATACCTTACTTYAAGATTTTCTCTGGGGCGCGAGTTCTGGCGCAMCCTGTATAAGTAAGCAGAAAATTAATATATTTYGATTTTTCTTTATTCGTGTTTTCACCAAAACATTTAGTAAAATTAACGTTCTTGTGCAATTGTCAAGAAACAGAATTTAATTTTTCAATTATTTATATACGAATTCTAAATTAAGTCAAATATAATGGCACATTTTGTTTTTTTTTGGAGCATTTTGTACGTTTTTTTTTAACCAGAAACGCAATTATTTTGTCAATTTTTTTTTCAAAAATAAGTTAAAAAATCACTAAATTAGTAAAAAATCGGTTTTATTTGTTTTTTATGAGATTTCACTCAAAAAAATCCCTAAATTGGGTTCAAAAGTATATGATTTTGGTCTTTTTCAGAGCGTTTGATGGTACGTTTTTAGTCAAAATTTCGTTAAAAAAAAACAAAAATTACCAAAATTGGCGTCATTTTTGTAATAAGTATAGAGTTTCAAAACAATTTTGCTTCACCTTTCTTAAGTCTTTAAACAGGTTTTTGAACTATAATCTGCAAAATTTTGATAAAACAAAC